GATCTTTTTCTCTCACTGGTGCTTACCTGTACCGTTACTTGGTCGCTTTCCTCTCTTACTTTATTTCGTCTATTTCCTTGTTTTCTGTGCGTATGATTTTGCTGACCTTTAATTCTGACACGTTTGTTCGTTTTAGCTTCATCTGCAATGTCTTCCAACTGCAATTGCATTTGATTTGGGGTTTTGTTATCCAATTATTATTATTTTTCTTCATAATTCCAACGCAATAACACTGAGCTTTGTCGTTTCTTTATGCAGTCCTTCCTAACTGCATTGCTTTTTGCGTAGGGTAAATCCTTGTTGCCAAGTGCTCGGTGGGAGGTAGAAGCAACTTTGTACGGTTTCGTCTCTTTTCTGTATTATCAAAACAATGGGCTTCAGAACTTATGCTACTTTCCTTTGGTATGTGTGCAATGCATTTCTCTTGTACACATTATGGTGACGACGGCTTGAAAGGAGAATAAGGGAAATGTGCGGGCCTTGGTTTTTCACCCCACTAGTGCTTCATGACCTGGCATTGTGTCCTCTCTGGCAGTGTTCTGCATTGCTTTTGCAAGGCAGTTTCTCCTAATGGCAGTATAGAGTGAGACCGTGACGGCAAATACTGAGTGAGATTTAGGAATAGGGAATTGCTTCGTCCTCTTTTTTCCTATTCCTTCAGTGGTGAAACCGATGGGCATGGGAGCTTTTGCTTGTTTACTGTAGGTCTTGTGTGAGGCAGCTCGCATGATGCCCTGGCACGTTTCCTGTTGTGCAAATTCAGCGGGCTTTCTGTGGATTCTTTCCTATTCTCCTCCTCAAATATTTGCATTTTCTTATTTGTGCACTGCTTCGCCTTTTTCGCTTGGTAGAGCACAAGGTCCACGAATTACGCCTACCATCACGCCTTCTCTCTCATTACGAGTAAATCCGCTGGAGTTAGTGCTTGATCTCATCAGTGCCTCATGGAGCTGCCTTTGCCTCTGTGAAGTTGCTCTCGGTGAAGTGCACGACTGTTTCGTTGCCACGGCAGCCGCGAAGGTAGCTCTGTCCTCTTTTCGTGCTGATGTTTTTTTTCGAGAGATTTGTAAATCCTCCTTTGCGAGTGCGAATTCTTAAGTATCATATGTGGCATGTTCCAGCTTTTGCAGTTTTTTTCAAATGCCTCTACCTAAGCACCTGTGAACGTGATCCTTTATTGCTCTGATTTTCTGAAATGCATTACTTGTTAAGGTATTCAGTTTTAAATCCATATCGTATTTGGGTGTCATGTTTTTCATAAATTTACCAAATTTTCTGTTGACGGACAATCATTTTTCGCAGACAAGTAGATTTAAACTCTAAAAGCTTTGCATGGTTTTGTTGGTGATTCCTATCATCTGTCTTGTAAGTGTATGATCCAAATTAATAAGTAGAATTTGGTTTCAAGAAAGTTATTCTTGCATTTCTCCAACACGAGAACATGCTTTCCTGCAAAATCAGTCCCACGCTAAATGTATTTTGTAGGTCCTGTTACCTTTCACCAAACCAGCCTCTTCCAGCAGCTAAAGGATTGTCGTGATGTATTGTGGCTGTATAAAAGTGATACTGGTAGCTTTGTTGAAGTACTTTAATTTCATCGCTTTTGCAGGTGTGGGCACAGCTTCACCTAACGTGGCGTCGAACTGCAAGGAGACAGAGACCAGTGCTGCCTACTTCATTGGCCAGCTAGTGGACATTGCGGGGATAGACAGCGACCTTCTGTGCAATGAGTACTTGGCACACGGCACAGGTCAGATCTAAACAGCCTTACCTCGTCTGGATCGACCTATGATTCACTTCCTAGCGATTGCAATGAACGTAAACAAGATATTATTTCTCAATGTTAGCATACTAAATACTACCAACAATAAATTTGCCACAGTCATTCAATGTTGTCTTCACAATTATTGGTAGGGAATTCCACCTTGCTCAAGGCTGTTTTACGAGCAAATTCTCACGTGCCTATATGCCAATCCTAATTATTCCCTGGATCTGTAAAACGACAAGAGCAGTAGCTAAGTGCGTCAATGTAATGACAAGTACAGTTGTCTAATCTACTGGGCAGCAGAGGAGGTTCTCGTGCTTCCCATCTGTTGGAACTGGTAGGAACTTGTAGAGCACAGTGGCCCCATTTCGGGTTTACTTACTGTGCAGTGAGGCCAACTGCCACAATTTCTGCACCACAGTATTCCACAATAATGCCCTGACGATTTGACTTGAGCCGATGGTTGGCTTTTGAATGCCCAGTAGTAAATATTCCGCAGTTAGGCAAAGGTAAGAAAGTAGACACACATAAGCAATTACTCATCACATTGCGATGTGTGGGCATAACGGACTCGTTTCTTGC